GGAAGTGACTCGTCCTCTCGCGAGATGTGGACGCTCCGTGGGGCGGCCCGGTGGCCGCGAGGCCAACGGCGCATGCGCGCAGGGCAACGGCTGTAACCGAAGCCGTTTGTGTGGGCCGAGGCCGTAACAGTGGCACCGTCCCCGCTCTCTTTTCTCCAGAGCCGCCTCCTTACGGCAGCGCGGCGTTCCCCCCGGCCTTGATGCGGTCCCACAGGAGGCAGCGGGGCCTGAGGAGCCACGGCTGTGAGTGGCCATGACCGTGAGGTTGGCCCAGGCTTCTTAGCCATGCAGTGTGAACGCTTCAGGGCTCTGTGTGTTCCCTGCTGTGCCCGGTCAGTGAGCGCCACGGGCTGTGTTTAGTTTCCTTAATGCAAACATCCCAATTCAGGACAAATTGGTACATGTCTTGTGCAGGTAAAACTCATGTGTGGGACATTACTTCCTGAAAGACACCTGAGAGGGAAGGATGGTAAAGTCACAGCTAAAAAGTCACAAATTTGTCCAAAGCAACAGTCCTGGGTACTATCTAATACCCTTCCCCTTTTGCAATATTAGGTTTCTTTAAACAAAGTTAATCAAAGCTCAGCAGCTGTTTTCTGCTTCATCAGCACTCTTCAGTGTCACATGTGAGAGAGATGTGGTTTTACAGATTGTTTTGGAAAATAAATTGGTTATGGGACTCAGGAAAAGACCCAAATAATATTATTTTATCTGCTTAGACTTCCAGCAATCGTACCTCTGCATTTACAAGCCTGATGAGGAGCGGCTGAGGGAACTGGGCTTGTTTAGCCTGGAGAAGAGAAGGCTGAGGGGAGACCTCATCACCACCTACAACTGCCTCAAGGGAGGTTGTGGAGAGGTGGGTGCTGGGCTCTTCTCCCAGGTGATGGCGATGGGGGTAGAACAAGGGGAAACGGCACCAAGCTGTGCCAAGGGAGGTTCAGGTCAGAGATAAGGAGGAAGTTCTTTACTGAGAGGGTCGTCAGAAGCTGGAACAGGCTGCCCAGGGAGGTGGTGGAGTCACCATCCCTGGATGTGTTTAAAGAGCGGGTAGATGAGGTACTTAAGGATATGGTTTAGGGGGTAGACAGGAGCGGTTGGACGTGATGATCTCAGAGGGCTTTTCCAACCGAGCAATTCTGTGATTTTCCACAGCCAAACTCAGGACTGCATTCAGCTCCACTACTCAACAATCCTGGCACCGTGGAGTACGAGAGAGGCCTGGGATGGGGTTCAGGTGGTTTCTGAAATTCAGTAAAGCCGGAAAGCGAACTAGGAAATATTTTGGGTTTTTGTCTGTTGAGAAATACAAGTTGCAGGCGGTTCGATGGGAACAGGACAGCAGGTGGAGCTGCCTGCTCTCGGCTGAGCTGCGGTGGGTGGCAGCCGCCTTGCTGGAGTTTTGGGAAGCAGCATTTACTGAAACATTTCACTCGTGTACTTGCATCAGTAAAACGCCAGCTGGGAGACCGAAGGATCCAACCTGCTGAAGCTCTAAATTCTGAAAGATTCTAAAAGACTTTAGGAGCAAGAAAAAAAATACTAACTCTTGCAAGACTCGCTGCAGTGTAACTATTCAATATCACAGAATCCCAGAACGTTAGGGATTGGAAGGGACCTCCAAAGCTCATCCAGTCCAATCCCCCTGCCGGAGCAGGAACACCAGATGAGGTTACACAGGAAGGCGTCCAGGTGGGTTTTGAATGTCTGCAGAGAAGGAGACTCCACAACCTCTCTGGGCAGCCTGGGCCAGGGCTCTGTCACCCTCACTGAGAAGTTTCTTCTCAAATTTAAGTGGAATATGCCTTAGAATTAACTTGCATCAGGTTATTGTTAGTGGTATTGCACTTGAATGTTAGTGATATTTCTTTACATGGCCCACAAGCCAAATGACCCTGCTGAATACAGCCCTACTGGCCTTTTATAAAGAGAGAAACTTCACCAAAGAACAGAACAAGGACCTAGAAAGGTTGCTTGAATCACACTGCTGAGCAAAAAGGTGCTCTGGGACACTGTGCCACCAGGGGTTCAACTTTGTATTAATTTGCAGAGCTTCGTGGATGACCTTTAAAGAGTCTGTGTCAATCAGCTCATGCATTGCACTCGCAGTGCCTATTCTCTCCAAAGGTTTAGAGGTCTGGGATTTCTTAAATAGACCAATTTCCAATATCAGCTTTCACTTGTGGGTTTTTTATTTAACCAGCAGGTTTACCTGATGGCAAGTCTGTGTGCAGAGGCAGCTACAAGGGAGTGTTTTCCAAAAACTGGGGGTTTGAAAGTGGAAACCGTGTGCCCAGCCTGGGCAGGTGGAATCAGCGCTGAAGCAGCTGCTATGACAAGACAAGGACAGCACAGGATTGCTCCTGGAAAACCCTTAAATCCACAGCAAATCACACAAGCGTTATAGTGGTAGCACAGTGGAAACAAAACGGACACAAACTGGAACACAGGAGGTTCCACTTCAATTGGAGAAGAAACTTCTTCTCAGTGAGGGTGACAGAGCCCTGGACCAGGCTGCCCAGAGAGGTTGTGGAGTCTCCTTCTCTGCAGACATTCAAAACCCGCCTGGACGCCTTCCTGTGTAACCTCATCTGGTGTTCCTGCTCCGGCAGGGGGATTGGACTGGATGAGCTTTTGAGGTCCCTTCCAATCCCTGACGTTCTGGGATTCTGTGATTCTGTGAAAGACAGTGAATTTTGTTTCTGAAGAAGGTGATTTTGCCTGGTCAGCGTAAGCTCTGGATTTTGCTGACAGGGGTCAGAAGGGATCGAGGGGGCCTCCCAGGCTGTGCCAATACAAGGAAATTTTACTGGTAAAACAGCACACTTTGAATTTTTCAGATTGAGCAACGCCAGTGTGGTCAAGGCAGCAATTTTCCTGCCAATAATAGTAATTCCACCAATGCCGAATTGCTTATCCTGCTTCAGTGAAGCAAAGTGAACTTCATTGTTTTCCATTTCTGTAAAGGCAAAGTAAACGAAATTTGCTAGAAGTAGGGCTGGCTGGAAATGTTAAAAAGTAACAGTAAGGTGAGGCTTATCTTTTCTAAAGATCTGGGGTTTGATACAGTGGAACATGCTCAGAAAACATCCTTAGCTGCCCCGAGACAGGGACAGGAGGCCAACTCCTTTGCATTTTTAGGAAAAAAATTAAATTGGCACCTGCAGTCCCTTCTGAATGATTCCATCAATCAGTCCTGCCACAAGAAGTAAGTTAGAGAACTAGGACAAGTAAAATATTGACAACGAGATTTAGAAACTTCACAAACAGCTGTCTTAATATTTAGTTTGGAATTCAAACTGTGCTCCAGTTTCATGCAAAGAAAAAAAATAAAATTGCTAAGTAATTTAATTTAGTTTCTGCACAAAGATACCAGTGAGTAAAAACGACCTGTTCAAGACATGGCTTCACATCTTGGAAAAAAAAACAGATCAGCTTCTGAGCCCAGTCCCTCCCCTCTGTACGCTGAGAATCGGTCGGGTTTGTTTGGGCACTGCGTGATTTAAGAACGTGACTGTTGGTGCCGTGCGTCAGTGAGTGGTTCTGAAAGATTTACGATGTGCGTGTCGAAGAGTGGAGCTGTTTCTCAGAGCCTCCCATACTTTTATTTAAACCAGGGTTTAATGCCTCAATTTCTTCCCAGTCCTTGCTGTCTGCCCTGTCCTGGTGTGTCGGGGTGGCTCTGATACGCACGCCTGAGGCACTCGGCCGCTGTCTGACAATGCTGCTGTGTGGTCACACGCAGTGGGCTGTGCACATCCTCGGGAATTTCTCTGGTGCATTGCTGTACGCCCACCATCATCACATTTGCAAAACAAAAGCATTTTTGGTTACTTTCTAGAATCAAAAAATTCCAGAAATAGTTCAAGCCCAGTCTGCCTTAGAGAACAAAGCATTTCAGGACGTGAGTTGCACAAGAGTAGCTGTATAAAAGTAAAGCCTTGCTTGCTTTATCCTGCCTTTCCATGCTTGCTTTTACTTACTTCCTTTACTTACTAAAGAACTCCAATTTTCTGCAAGACAATACATTCTAACACAACTTGAGCAATGAAGCTACAGCAATTCCTAGTGTGAGAACGAAAGCCCATAGGTGTTGAGGTCATTTGGAAACGGACGGGTTCCCAAGCTTACAGAAATACTTCACAAATACTTGAAAGTAAAAAGTAACTTTTTATCTCAAACCATACATTGTGGCATTAGGAACCCAAAAGATAAGTAAAGATAAATACAGTTTTGATAATTCCTGTATAAAACAGACTACAAACCTGTTTCACATACATCATGACAAACCCAGGTTCCCCCTGAGGTGTAGCTTGCATGTCCCAACTTTTCTTCCAGTTCATCATCAGTCATTGCCAGACAGAAAAACCTCAAACTCTCTGAGTAAGCAAAAGCTCCACAAAACATGAGTGAGCATCTTTTCTTCCAACAAATGGCCTTGGTTTTTTTGGTCTCTACATACCCAGAGCTCTGTAAGAAGGTTCACTGCATTTCTGTACATCTCCAGCAGTTGATTTCAGTTGTACAAGAAGTGCCCAGACCTCTCATTTTTCCTCCCAGAGAGACAAAGCAGGATTAATTGCACTCGATAGACAAAATAACAGCTTGCTGCTATTCCAGATGTGGTGTCACTTTGCTGAGGAGTCCCAGGTCCATGTAAATAATAATTCCCTCTCTTCTCTCTCACAGAGCAGACCAGTGCTCCCAGTTACCTGCTCTGCATGTGGATATCCACGGGTATGAAAGTCACTACAGGATTCTGAGCCGTGCCGCTGCTGTTCTGCCCTAACGCCGGTGGCATCCCTGGTTTGCTGGGTTTGGGTTCCAGCTCCCGCTTCACTCTCATGCGTCTGGAAAGGTAAAAATGAAATTGTCACCAGGGCTGGCACATGGGGTGAGCTCTCTGCACATTACAGTTTAGTTTCTTCCCAAAATTTTTAGCAACAAACTGTGTTCAGTTCTGGGCCCCTCAGGTCAAGAAGGACAGGGAATTGCTTGAAAGAGTCCAGCAGGGCCACAGAGATGCTGGAGGGAGTGGAGCATCTCCTGCTGAGGAGCGGCTGAGGGAGCTGGGGCTCTTGAGCTTGGAGCAGAGGAGCCTGAGGGGTGCCCTCATTCCTGGGGATCCATTGGGAAAGGGCAGTGTCAGGAGGAAGGAGCCAGGCTCTGCTCTGGGATGGCCAGTGCCAGGACAAGGGGCAATGGTCCCAAGCTGGAGCACAGGAGGCTCAAGCTGAAGTTGAGGCCAAACTTTGTCAGGGTGAGGGTTCTGGAGCATGGCCCAGGCTGCCCAGAGAGGTTGTGGAGTCTCCTTCTCTGCAGACACCCAAAGCCCTGGCCGTGTTCCTGTGCGACTGCTCTGGTGCTCCTGCTGTGGCAGGGGTTGCACTGGGGGAGCTTTCCAGGTCCCTTCCAACTCCTCATGTTCTGTGATTCTGTGAAATACTGAAACAGTCTGTTAGGAACTGTCTGTTAGGTCTGTCCTGCCTAACCGTGACTTTGGTTCAGCTCATCTCGCCTTAGTGAAACGCAGAACTTGGCCACATACCTGTTATATGTTTTCAATATGAGCAGCACCACTGTAAAAATAACAATAACTCCTACTACGATGGCAGCCACTATTGCTCCAGAACCTAGCAGGGAAGCAGAAAGAGGAAAAAAATAGTCTTATTTACAAAGTTGCCATTGTACTGTTTGAAGTTTGCTAAGTTCAAAGTCCACTTTAAGAAAAAAAAAAAAAGCCACCACCCTGCTACTTTTCTTACTTTGATAGAGACTTTGTTCTTGAAACTTTGTGGTCACATTTATGGAGAGCTGAGTATTATTGATCAGTGGCACAGCAGTCGTCATCTTGATTCGGCTACAGAAGAAAAAAGGAAATAAATTATTAACCAAAGAAACACTAACCAAAAAAATTAATAAAAAATTAACCAACATTTGGCGGTCATAATTAGACAACCACCCGTTAAAGACTCAGAGCCTAAGTGCAGGCTCACTGAACTGGGGTTTTTAATGTTTTCGTCATGGTGAAAATCTGGCCCTGCTGAAGTCAGTGGATTGTGAGCAATTTGCCTTACAATACACACTGCTCAGAATTAATAGGATAAAATAAAATATCAACAAAATAGGCCATTGTTACCTATACATTATTGCTGTTATACAAGTTTTGGATAAAGATACGTATTTTAAATGTTTTAGGGTTTTATATTCTTATCTCGAGTTATGAGATGGAGATCACTGAGTACGTAAGTGTGACGAGTTCTGTAGCCAGTACTCAGTAATATGTCTTTAAGGAAGGGAAAAAAAGTCAGCACATAAAGATTTAAAACCTCTTTTATAGAATAGATTTTAAAGTAGCTCCATTCATCTAACAGGGAGCAGAAAACCAGTTTAAGCCCCTAAATCGAAGCTCCACAAGTTACTTGGCAAACAACGGCTGTCCCACAACAGACAAAAACATTGCACCGTGACTGTGACAGAAAGTTGATGGAGTTCAGACGGGCCCCTCACGCCCGTCCGTGCCATCTCAGGTCTGTCACTGGGTGAGGACAAGCCTGCAAGTGGACAGCTGAAAATATGCCTGCTCCTGTGTTTGGGTATAGATCTAGAAAGAGCAGCCTCTATGTTTACTGATTTTATAAGCATTTTCCAAATGTTTTCTAAGTGTGACTTGTAACCTTAGCCATTAAAAGACTCCTTCATCCTGAGAAGGGTGTGAAAGCCACTTCAAGCAGACCTCTGAAACCATGTCAGCTCCCAGCTTCAGAGAGCTAATGCCCTCAAACCATCCATCAAAAATTAAATTATTCTTCCACACCTGACACTGGAATCGAGTTTCCCATTTCAGATGCTGCCCAGTACAGCCAGGCAGGACTCTGTTATACTCCACTGGGATACTGTGGCTCTGTGGTTTGTTTTTAGTAGCTTTAATTTTACACAGCACAAGATATACACTAACTATTAAGTGGATAGAAAAAACAGTTGGTAATAGAAAGGACTGGAAATATGAAAGGCAGCCTCCCTTCCCCCTTATTCCTAAAAGTTTCTGCAAAGTAGCATCCATCAAAGAAAACCCCTGTGGTGGCAGGGTACAGGTTTGGGAGGCAGGGAGGATACAGCTCTGACTGCTGTGGACAGGCAGGCATCGTTTTGGGGTGGGAGGTGCTGAGTCAACCCCTGGTGTGCACCCAGGAGGCTCTGCAAATGGATTTGAGAGGAACGAGAGGGATCAGGAACCAGCAGGAAGGGAAATGGTCAATGGTGCCTGGGTGTGAAGGATCACAGCTGCAAGGTCAGTTCATCAAATCAATGCTGTTAAGTTAAAAAGGTTGGGGTTTTTTCTTTAAAAACCAAAAATAACTGTGTCTCAGAAGCTGTAACTGGGTCATTCTCCTCTGACTGAATGATTCCTTTGTTTAGCCAAGGCCAAGTTAATTCAGCACCATGATCATCGGCTGCAGTCGTCGATCTTTCCGTGCTGAAAGAAGTATTTTGTGTTTAGAGTTTGCTCAGCCCTATCGCATAGTGCAGAGAACAGATTGACACACACCTTGGAGGAACCGGCCAGAGGCTCTGAAGCTTGGGTGACAACACTGTCCCCATCTGCTTCCCCACCCATCTGTTTGAACCCGCACTGATGAAGGTTGTACCACGGACGTAATTCAGAAAAAGCTGTGTCCAACTTTTACCTTCCTGCTCCTGACTGGGAGAGCACAAATCCCAGATTTACAGCACTTTTTTTCTCCTCCTCTGGCTACTAAAATAAAAATCCCAAATAAAGAAGGCTGAATATTTTGATATCAAGCCATGTCATATTCATACTCAGTAACTGGTTCAAACCACCTCGGTAATGGTGAGCTATTTGTGCATGAGTCACCTGTAACCGATGAATTTTTATTGTTGTCAGTGAAACCGCCTGTTTACAAAAAGGACGAATTTATCCGACGGGGCGTAGCAAGCCAAGATGCCATTTGAAAAATGCATTTTTTAATTTATTTTTTTGTTTTCCCTGCATTGTGTAGCAAGTGAAGAGGCCCAGGGTCGGTGTATCAGGCCGGGAGGGGAGGTACCGGTCCTCAGTTCTGCCGCGTTACCTGCGGCAGCTCCCAGCTCCATTCCTGCCCTGTGAATCAACCGGGTTACGCCTGACCCAGCCCCTGCTGCCAGACTCAAGGACACAGCAAAACCCATGGGAATGTACCAGTTTCAAGGTATTGCCAACTGGATCCTACGCTGTTTACAAAAACATCTGGAAAATCAAGAGCGCTCAATAAAAGCTACGGAACAGGGGAGATGAAATGGACTTTGGTACAGCAATCACGGGACATTCTTGCTTCATGACACACGCGTGCACTTCCCGCTGTGCACACACACCTGCCCGGGGCTCTGAGAGCCACCAGTTCACCCGCAGCCCTTGTGACGGGGCAGGGGCACACACTGCTGGTTATTTTCACGTCCCCGCGTTACTGAGCTGGAAATGTTTCCATAAAGTTAAGCTTTTGGGCAGGTTTCCACTTAAAACACCTTTGCAGATACAGCCTCAAGGTTGTTTTGCCAAGCGGTAGCAATGCCCCCATTTATCCAACCTTCCTGCCTCCCTCCACCCCGTCGAATTTGAAGCTGAGTGGCCGTTCTCATTGACGGCGAGATGGGGATCAGAGCTCAGGAGAGGGGTGACGGGGAACAGAGGGCTTTGTCTGAGATTTTTCTAGGAGAGCTGGACTTGGAGAGCCGGCTCCCTGCCAGGGAAGGCAGGTGCTGGTCAGGAAAAGACACAAATTCAGCGCTTTGCCACCCAGAAAGAAGGTGGTCTTTGCATCAAGCTGTGCTGCAGGCTTGAAACTAGACACAAAGTCAGCTATTGTTCCTCCAGCAGTAATATATACCAGGTTTGACCCAAAAGGTCAATTAGAGAATAAATTCATCCTTTCAACTGCACGGCTGCACAGATAATATTTTCATCTTACATTGTGGCCAAACAGGCTGAAAAACCAGATTATTTTTCCTTCCTTGCTTATCCAGGTCTAAGGAAGAGCACTGGCTGCCAGCTCTGCTGCCCTGCGACTTGATTCCCTTCCCGAAAATATCAGCAGGGCAGGGTCTTAAATCACAAAAAAACACTGAAGAATGGGACAACAAAACCCAGCGCTGGTTTGCTTGATTTCTGGTTTTCTTTCTCAGCATTCTGGCCGTGACAGCTGCTAGGAGAGGGAATATTCTCTACAAGACTGGAATTTGGGCTGCTCTCTTCCCTCAGGACTCTAGCAGTGGTAAATGAGCAGGTCCAAGCAGCAGCACATGAGAACGGCCTTAGATGATCAAAGAGAGCTGAACTTCTTACACAAACACTACCAGGGTGCTGGAGCTGTGTGAGAAGAGGCAAATTATCAGAGGTATAAAGGTAGAAGAGGTATTATTAATTCCAATAAACAAATGTCAGGATGTCACCGAAGAAGCCCAAGAGGCAGTCAGACTCTAGTAAACAGGAAGCACAGTGCAGAAAGAAAATAGGATTATATTTAAGAGTCACAAACTCAGCTTCAGCTCCCCGTAAACTGGTGCCCCGTCCATCCTCGACCCAAGCAGCCACGTGCTCCCACGCTCACCTGCCCGCAGCGTCATGAGCCACGCGAACCGGGAACATCGCCGGGGGCACGAGGCAAACTGTAACTGCAGCAAGCAATAAAAACACAGTGTGCTTCAGAGAGACCTGAACATGCCTGCATTTACCCTGTGAGGCCCTAAGAGAGAGGAAGGAGGAAAGAAATCCCCAAGGTTCAAACTGGCTGGCGGGAGCTAAGGTATAAACGTGGCCTCGGGCAAACAACCCTGCTCTGTATGCAACCTGTGTGTTCGTACGTGCCCCAATGTCAGACCTGCACCTTTATATAAGCATTTGTCTCAGGTTCTGGCATGAGCTCTCCAGGTTTAGCCGTTGTTAAAACACACATTAAAAGCGTTTCATTTCCCTGCCAGGACAAAGTTACACGAACTGCAGGATCTCTACTGTGCAGTAGCAGCACCAAGAAAACAACGGTAACTCTACCTGCGTGGCTCATGTCTCGAGAAGGGCTAAAAACCCTCAGCCCACGCAGATCACAAGAAGTTAGGGAGTGAAGAGAGGTCCCCAGGAAGGAATCCACTCGTTTCGAAAGCCGTGCCTGGAAATTCAAAGCAGACGGACTTTGTCGCTGCCTTGCCCGGGAGCAATGTCTACACCAGGCTGTGAACTGCACATTGCCCAATTCTCATCTTCTGCCTTAAAATGCAGGGCCACACACATTTCCCCTCTCCCTCCGTGTGAATGAACTTATTCATGGGAACTGCAGTGACCCCACCATGTTCACCAAAGTGCGTTCACACCATAAAAACACCCCAGATGCTTTGGGGTCGGACTGACCATGCAGACAAGCCTGGATATGGAGGCAAAACAAGCCAGAAGTATTTTCCCACTGGTTACGGGCCAGGATCTAAGGCACACTCAAAGATTTTTTTAGATGCTTGTGAAATGCGTGTCAGAACCAGGATTTGAACTTATAATGGAAAAACCCCAGCATGCCACCGCCACGCAGGTGAAGTTCCTGCAGCTCAAGGCTTGCACTGCTCAGACGTAACCTCCAGTCCAGTCACAGGACCCTGCAGTGGGGTCTGGCGGGTTGAGCTCAGATGCCTCTTGTTGATTTTTTTATTTTTTAAACACCCTAACTGCCCCTCTTTCCTTGCTTTCTGGAAGGGATCAGGTGCACTTCTTCCTTACATTACAGCAAATTGGTGTAGATCTACCACTGCATCCCAGAAATGCTGCTGATGTGCTAGAGGCAGCTCATATGCACACCATGCAGCCAGGATAA